GTCGGTAGGAGGCAAAAGATGACAAATGAACTCCAGATTTAAAAATCCTTCCTTGTTGGCAGGGAGATTGAGGAACCTTAATAATTTATCACACGGGGAACCCCCAGAAGCCCTGTCTCTATGAACTCTTGGGGGCTGAGGGGAGGAGAGGGGTCTCCAGGAGCTTCCTGAGACGGCTGTGTGCTGGGGGCTATGGTGACACATTCAGTTCCAGGCACAGAGAACATACACTCAGGAAGTGAGGAGATGGAAACACCCCCTCTCCCAGATTGGGGTCACATACCCCATACGAAGGCACAATGGCAGGCAAGGTTTGGCAGTGGTTGAGTGTCAGGGGTCGACAAAGGATACCATGATATAGCGAGTGCCCCGTGTCGTGGGCAGCCCCTCGTGGTAGTGGGTGAGGCGGCCAGGGTGCAGGAGGCCCCAGCCCTTCCTCGGGGAGGAGACCACGCAGTCATAGCACAGGAAGCAGCAGCCACCTCCCTGGGAAGAGAAGGGGACAAACGGGGTAGGCAGACGAGGGGCCTGAGGAGTGCACAGGTAGGAGTGGGAGGGGCAGCCAGGCAAGGGGGGAGGGCAGGTGTGGGCCGGGGTATCCACAGACGAGAGAAACTCAGAGGAAGGAATTCAGGAGGTGACACCCCCCAAATACCTGGGATATAGGAAAAGGCTGGGCCACAGGCAGGGAGGCATCTGAGGGGAGCGGACAGGGGCTCTGGGGGGACGTCGGGCTCGAGGACAAGAGTGTGTGGAGGGGCAGGCGCACCTCGTAGTCCAGGCCCTTGCGGTTGAGGGCAATGTTGAGCGTGAAGGTGGACGAGTCGTGGTGTGGCCGCAGAGCGGGCTGCTCGTCTGGACGATAGCGGACCACAAAGTTCATCACTGCCCGAGTCTGGGGGACATGAGAGAAGAGGCTATAGGGATGGCCGGGAGGACTGGGGGGTCTTCTGGGGAGCTGACAGCCCTATCTGGGGAAGAGGGCCTTGGAAGGGCCTCACTGCTAACGGGGTCTCAGCCTGGCTGCTCCCCTCCCTAGGCCCCCTGTGCAGTGTCATACCTGGGGACCAGATGCCATGGAGATACAGGGGCCCCAGACCCTACTGGGCTGAAAGAGCTCTGTGGGGGATTCCAGCCCAGGACTGGGTGCGGCGGGTGGTGGGGGCAGGGGCGACAGGTGGGCGGCCCACCTTGGTGTGGTAGCCCGGGAACAGGTAGCTCTCGGTCATGGGCCCCATGTACGTCCGCAGCAGCTGCAGCCACTGGTCCTCGTAGCCCACTTGCTTCATATGGATGTCCACGGTGGGCACGTTCTCGTAGCCTCCAGCCAGCCTGGAATCCTGTGTCCAGTGGGCACTGAGCCACCCCACACTCTCGGAGTGTGACCTCCCTAGTAGCACTGCCTGATTCCTCCCCCTTCTCACTCTGAGGCTTGAAAACCTGTGCTCCCTCCATCTGCAATAGTCTTCTCTGCTCCTTCTCAGCTTCACTAACTGCTACCGTTACTTCAAGTCTCGGCTAAGTTGTCACCTTGTTTGACCCCTTGGTCATCCAAGTCTGGGCCAAGGCCGCCCTGTAGCTCCCATAGCACCTGGGCTGCCCATCACAGCCTTAGACCCACAGCAGCTGGGTCACCGCTGCTACCTGGGAGGGCAGAGCCCGGCTGGCACAAGTCCTCACTGCAGGGCTCCATCTAGGACAGTGGCCGAGTAAATATTTCTTGAATTTATGACTGCAGCTATATTACCAGGGTCGCTCCCACTATAGGTACCTTCTCTGCTCCCACTCTCCTGACTCCCTTCCTCCTGGACCAGACCATGCATCCCCATCCTCCTAGGGCTCCTCTCCCCCTCTGCCCAGCCCCCACATTGAGCTGGCCTCCTGACCACTGGCCGTAGTGCTCCATTTCCTCCACCAGCTTGTCCCACATCTGGTCTGACAGCAGCGGGAACCAGTACACGTCTAGGCATGGCTGAGGAAGGGGCTGAGGAAGGCATGGCAGGGGAAGAACAGGGCTGGGGTGATGCTGCTGAACAGGGGAAGGGGACGGGAAGCACACAGAGCTGAACAGAGCAAGGAAGAGGAGGACAGGAGGGATGAGTCCAGCTGGGGACAGCTAGGCCAAGGGTGGCACAGCACGGGGGACTGGAGGGACCCAGAGGCCTGGGTGCAGTGACTGTGGTTTCCAAACTTCTTCACATCAATACATCCCTTGTTAAATATGTGAATGCAGCCACAAAGGCTACAGGAGTCTCTCTGACCCATGCTGGAGGTGGTGCTGGAGCCCTACCTGCTCAGCTCTGCCTCCAGCTTGCCTGATCAGGAAGCTCAGGGCAAAAATTGCTAATCCAGGTGGTGGGTGGGGAGTGGGGACAGAGGCCCTGGCCATGGTTTAGTCGGGGACCTGAGCTGGCTCACCTGCTCCACAATCTCCTGTCCTTCCAGGGCCTGGCTGTAGTTCTCATGGATGTACTGTTCCTTCCAGTCCTGCAGGGGGCGGAGCATGTCAGACATCTGTCCCTTCACTCCCAGCCCAGGCAGTGTTGGGTGGAGGGTGAGGGACATGCTGGCTTTCAGTGAGGCTTGACTCACAAGGGGGTTGTCGAAGATCTGCCAGAGGTCAGGGTGAAGGTGGTCTGTGTTGTACCAGGAGGTGGCCAGGAGCTGGCCGAATTCCTGCGGATTGCTGAGGTGGAGGAAGAAGCCCTGGGGTGGGAGGGTGGGGGTGATCGGGGATCCCCGGCGGCTGCCCCCCGTCTCCCAGCACCCAGCCCCCAGGCACTGCACCCAGGCCTGACCGCCACTCACTTTGTCCTGCAGGCTCTTACAGAAGGCCATGTCCGGGTCAGTGTCGCTGCCTGAGAACACCTCCCTCTGGGGCAGCTCCTCCCGCAGGGTCTCCCCTCAGATCACGTACCCCTGGGACATGTAGGGCACGTTCCACACACTCCTGGAGGCACCAACGCCAGGGTCAGTGAGGTGGGCTGCCCCCAGTTCCTCCCAGGAAGTCCTTCTCTTGAGACATCGTGGTCCCTGGGACGTAAGGCCCCCTCATGTCCCGTTAGACATGACTGGTCACGACCACCCCAAGCCGAGGGACATCTGACTGGTGAGTGGCCTGGACACTTGTGAGCAAGGGGGTGGGGGCTGCGTAGGGCCCAGCTCAGCAGGGGTGGGTGAGGGGTGGCTGCCGGCCGGGCAGGACTCACACTCGCTTGCGCTGTACCAGCTCCACGTAGTCCTCGGAGCGCGCGTAGTACTCATCCTGGCTCAGCGCTGCCCAGAAGTTGGACCAGAGCTTGCCATGGCGTGACAGCATGGGCGCTATCACCTTCCTGTGGACAGGTGGGCATGAGGGTTGGGCAGAGGGGAGCATGCCTCAGGGAGCCCCATTCCCACGTAGCAGTTGGGTCCTGGGGACTACGGGGGCGCCCTGGCTTAGGGGGACAAGCAACCTGTTCTCAATTAGGCTACGCAGGGTCTACGGGTTGGTCAGGACTGCATCAGCATCCAGGTTAAAGTAAAACTCACACTCAGGGTCCTGCCGACAACTCTCCCTGGAGGTGACAGACCCACAGAGAAGCTGCCTGGGGTAGGAGGTGGGGGAGGGGCTGTAGTATCAGGGGAAAGCCCCCATCCCCCAGGTCCTCTGCTAGTGATGAGGGAGGGGACAGTCACCTGGGTCTTCAAGAGCGAGAGTGCAGAGCCCCAGGAGGTGCTGGCCAGGTGACTGCTGAGGCAAGTGTGATGCAGTGGGAGGCAGCCCCTCCAACCCACCCTCCTCCTTGGCTCCCTCCCCACACAGGACCCACTCGCATGACCATGTCCCTGGCCTCACATGGGTCAGGGCCTCCTCTGGCCCCACCAGCTTCACAGCTGAGAAGTGGTCCTGGAGCTGTGGCCAGGAGTCTGGGATGTGGGGTCGTGGAACACCTCCTGGGGACGGGGCAGATGGCAGAAATTGGCACCAGAGGAATGTGGATGGGTGAAGTGTGAGGGAAGGAGTTTGGGATCAGGGGCAGGAATTCTGATCAGGACAGGGGAACGGTCCCCTGGGAGGGTCCACAGGGGAGGGTGTCTCATGTTGTTGTGTAGGAAAAGGGTGACCCAGTCAGGGGGATAGTCCAGGAGCAGCAGCCGCTGCATAAAGCGGGGCAGAAATGGGGTAGGTGGTTCCAAACAGGAGCAGAACCAACCTGGGGGGGAGGCTGGAAGACACAACATGAGGGGGCTCAGAGGAGAGCCTGAGCCTGCATTCTGTCCCCAACACCCCACCAGGGCTGAGGCACCAATGAGCTCTGCCTCCACCCCTGCCCAGTGTGCTCTGCCTGCACCTGCCTCCAGTGACCTCATGCCCCACCCCGGCAGCCCCTCACCTGCCCCCCCGGGAGTGTCCTCCGGTTCCGATTGCAGAACCCACAGCCTCCCTGAGGAGTCCAGCCATTGGGGACATAGTTTCCCAGGTAGTTCAGCTCGAGCTGTTGGGGAGAGACCTGCATAGCTGTAGAGGCTCAGCCGTGAGGGGTCAGGGGACAGGTGGGGACAGAGCAGCAAGAAGAGGGAGAGCCTCTCCCAGTTCCTCTGCTGTGGGAGCTGGGGAGGGCCACCTTCTCAGAAGGGTTGCAGGTGTCTCCTGGTTGGGAGGGGAGGGCAGGGGGCCACTGGGAGCACCTTGGTGGGACCGTTTCCATGGACCACAACAGGGAGGGTGTCGTAGGCCACGTTCGGTATTCACACACGATTCTGATCAAATTTGAAAACTACTTCATCTGGGGAAGGAAGGCCAGGCTTTAGACTGCCTTTCTCTGGGAGCTGCCAAGCAACAGGTTCTTCCAAATACAGGGTCTTGAGTTCTCCAGGGGATAAAAGGACGCCTGTGTCATGCTGGACTGGGGCTCTGTGGTGGCAGGAGCCCTCAGCTTCTGACCAGGCTGCTACCCTGGAGAGCTCCACCACCTGCTCCTAACTCCTCTATGTGGTAACAGAGGCAAGGACTGGAGTGTGGCGTCAGCCAGGCTCGGCCCCATGGACAGGCTGACTGCCACCCTGAGGGATTTACTTCCAAGTTGGAATCCTGATGACAGCAGCTGCCAGGCAGTGGCTGGGTGACGAGCACTTGGTCCCTGCTGCCCCCCTCAGAAGGCCTGCCTGAGAATCCAGTGTGGCATCTCAGCCCCCATCTCAGCCCTGGTGTTGACACTGTGGCAGGGGAGACTGGTGGAAGGTGTGTGACGTAGACCTGCCACTGACTCTTTATTCTTCTCCACCTGGGCCCCAGCCCTGTAGACCAGGTCCCACCCAACATGGCTGCCTGATAAGGAAGGGCTAGGAAACCGATGACAGGCGAAGATGGGGACCAGAGGACTGTCACCCTCAGTGGGCTGGGGTGTGAGCAAGGACACAGAGGAGGCTTGGGGAGGCTCAGGGAGGTGGGGGAGGCAGGGCAGGGCTCCTGACACCTGGTGCTTCCTCCCAGTCTGGGCTGGCTTCCTGGAGAGGATGGCATTCTCAGAAGAAGCCTGACAGTGTGGGGACAGGCCACACACAACCCGGCCACATTGCACAGGAAGGATGCCAAGCTGTGATGACCAACAGGGAAGTAGTGTTCATTTGTAGAAGTGGACCCGGGTGGGAGGTGGCCTGGGGGAGCCACACCTGTGATCCCCTAAGGGTGTCATTCCCAACCCCCTCTCCCCTGGATAGTCTTTCCAACCCTCACAGAGCCCGTTCTTCTGGCCACATCACATTCCCGCTTCCCACACCAGACACCAAGTCTCCCCTGGGGACGGAGGCTGATCTTCACCTTTCTGCTTCCTGCCCTGGAGTCTCCCCACAGCCCAGTGGTCTTTCTACCTCAAGATGACTCCTCCTTCCCTTTCTTCCTCTCTCAACTCTGACCATACCTGGCCCTTTCCTGATAAACTTACCTAACTGACTTCGCAGGGACCGGAGCAGTTTTCACCTATTATCAGCATTTCTCTGCTTCCTGGTCTGAGCCCGGTTCCTCCAGGAAACACCCTGGCTTCTAGTGTCCTCTCCCACCTCAGGCCAAGCCCTCCCCACACCCCTCACCCATCACTTGGGTTTCACACAGAGGCCTGATAGGGGATGAAACCCCTTCCAGCCTCCCTAAGTCCCACACCAAGGCCCCATTACTCAGGGAGAAGAGGAGTGGAAGGGCGCTCAGGAAGGTCCCCAGAATCAATCCCCACAGCCCCCAGCCCAGGTGTCCAGTTCTCACTTGAAGGTGGTGCCCGTGCCCCTTGGGGAAAGAACCCAGAGTAAAACACTGGAGATGCCAACACTGAAGTTTGCACCAAGCTGAGGTACGGAGGTGCAATAAATAGGCCTTGCGTCTCAAAGGCGGCCAGAGCAGATCACATGCAACACATTGAAGGCAAATGGTTGAGAAGTGGCTCTCGAGCCCCTCACCCACCACAAGGATCAGAGTTTGGAGAAGGAGGAAAGAGGGTGTGGGGAAAGGCTTTCAGAGTCCTGTGAGCCCCACCCACAAAGGGCCAGACTTCCCACAACAGGATCAGTGACAAGAGCTTGGTACATCCCCAGTGTTTGGGGAAGGTGCCCACCAGGGAAATCTAGCAGCCGATTGTGGCTGTCTGGATGCCCCCACGGCAGGAGAGAAGGAAGGACAAGTGCCACAGTGGGACCTAAACTCCAAGAGCACCCAGGCCACGATGCTCATGGCTGGAGCTGGGTTTTCCAGCCCTCACACCCTAGAATAACGGGATTCCTGCAGAGCAGACCCGTGTGGAGAGCATGGGCAGAAGCCCAAGGCCAGAGGATGAGGCAGAGAAAGCTCAGGAGCTGCCAAAATGGCCTAACAGGGACACCTGTGAGGGATCTGTGAATGTCCCCAGGAAGAAGAGAGATCAGCTCTGGCAATCTGACGCCCAGAGAACACCACATTTCTGTGACAGCCTTGTCAATCTAGAGGTTTCTGGCACTCTTCCCCCATCTCTGCCCTACACTCTAAGTCAGGGCTGGTAACAGCAGCTATTACAGGAGGAGTAGGGAAGAGGTCAGTCCTACCTTTCACACTCTACCTTTCCTAACCACCACTCCTGCACCAAGTAGGTAGCCTGCCCTTGCCAGCGAAGAGAAAATTCCTATCCTTGGATAAAGACTGTAGCGTTGATTACCACAGGAACTAAACATGCTATGCACCAAGTTAATGTAGTACTTATTACCTGAGGTAAGTCATGGGATTGCCCAGGTTTTTATCCAAAGACAAGGGAAAGTTCTTCCACTGAATATTTTTTTTCTCTCTGATTCTTTTTTTTTTTTTTTTTTTTTTTTTGAGACAGTGTCTTGTCTGTCACCTGGGCTAGATGCAGTGGCATCATCATAGCTCATAGCAACCTCAAACTCCTGGGCTCAAGTGATCCTCCTGCCTCAGCCTCCCCAGTATCTGGGACTACAGGTACACACTAGCACATCTAGCTAATATTTCTATTTTTAGTAGACAGGGGGTTTCACTCTTGCTTAGGCTGGTCTCAAACTCCTGGCTCAAGCAATCCTTCTGCTTAAGCCTCCCAGAGTGCAAGGATTACAGGTTTGAGCCACCAAGCCCAGACTCTAAACCTTTAAATTTTAATTCATGTAATCTTTATAATATTCCACAGTGCTGAGCTGAATGCCATGCTTGAAGTATGTCATTTTATTTTATTTTTTTAAGACAGAATCTCACTGTAGCCTGGGCTACAGTGCCATGGCATCAGCCTACTTCACAACAACCTCCAACTACTAGGCTTAAGCAATCCTACTGCCTCAGTCTCCCAAAGTTGCGGGGACTACAGGCATGCCCCACATCATGCTCAGCTAATTTTTATATATATATATTTTTTAGTTGTCCAGCTAATTTCTATTTTTTTAGTAGAGACAGGTTTCACTGTTGCTCAGGAAGGTCTCAATCTCCTGAGGTCAAAAGATCCTCCTGCCTTGGCTCCAAGAGTGGTAGGATTATAGGCATGAGCCACCATGCCCGGTCTTGAAGTACGTTTTAATCCTGTTAAAATAAGTCCTTGTTGATTGGATTTCTCAGCCCCAGGGATACATAGAGGATGATTAGGGCATGCAGAGCAAGCCATCGCATTAACTCTACTTTTTCTCCACTTGAGGATCTGTTCACCCGGCCTCCTGTTATGGCCGCTTGAGTGAGCTTTTGCTCACTGATCCATCATCTACTCTAACTTCTCCCATCCAAGTGCTAACCAGGCCCGACCCTCCTTCGCTTCTGAGATGAGGCGCATTCAGGGTGGTGTAGCCATAGACTACGTTAACTTCTTTTACACGTGAACCATGCTTGCTCTTCACAGCCTTCCCCTCCAAAATTCCTCCCTCCCAACTCTATCCAGATGCCTGACAGCTCTTAGCTAAGCAGATGCCTTTATTTAAAGCTAGAGAAGAGGCAAAGGGGAGGGGCTTGTCCAAGATCCAGCCACATGCAGAGTTGAGTCTCTGTCCAATCTCAGGCAGCAGCTCTGTAGCACATCAGGATGGGCGTGGATCAGGCCTGGACAAGCTCACTTCCCCAACTTGCTTTGATTGGGGGCATGGAGTATGGCAGTAGGAGGAGGTCCCAGCACACTGGGTCAAGGGCTTGGGGGCTCAGCGAGCAGCTGAGGCCAGGCCTAGAGGAAAGTGAGGTGGGTAGAAGCAGGGACGCCACAGCTTTCCTTGTGCTCCTCAAACAGCTGCTCCAGAGCCTTCATGTAGACGGCGTGATAGTGGTCAACTTCGTCCGTGGTGGGCTGGAGGCGCCGGGGCACAGGGATGGGGCGGCCCACTGCAGACAGAGGGAGACACAGGTGAGAGAGGGGCCCCCGCTGTCCATAGAGCAGCTGGCGCCCCCTCCCCCACGGGTGGCACTCACCCACGGTGGTTATGGGCACAGCAAAGGGCAGCAGCCCCCAGGAGTTGGCCAAGAACAGACTGCGGCCCCAGAAGATGCAAGGAGTAATGCCTAGGAGCTTCTTAAAGATGACCTGGCACCGAAACTGCCAGGAGCCATCAGCAAAAGCCTTCAATCTGAAGATGTCATTCTCCCCAAAGGAGTAAACGGGCACCAGTGAGGCCCTGGGAAGGGTGATGAGAGAGAAGAGGGGTGCTCAGGTTGCTAGAATGCCCCCACAAGGGCATCATGGGGGCTGCAAGTCTCTCCCCAGCCCTCATGAGGCCACGTTCCAGAGCCTTTCAAAGCACAAGACAGTGCCTACAAAGAAAGATCTAGAAGAAGATACTCACATTTCTTGAGAAACAATTGTGTAGTTGGCCTTCACATACTCACTTTCTCATTTAGTTGTTAGGACTATAACACAGTGTCTAGTCAGTATTAGGACTTTTCACAGGTAAAGAGATAAGTCCAAGGTCTTGCCTCTGAGATCAGGTCAGAAAGAGCATGCAGGGCTTTGAGCCCAAGGACCTGCCATTGGCACGACGCCCCTGCCTCTGCATCACTGGGGGTGGGAGGGAGCCCGGGGAACGGGGCACAGGGCTTGGCTCAGAGCAAGACGCTCAGGGCTGCCATGAGCCTCCAGGTTTAGGACACAGTGCTTGGCTCTGGGGACACAGACCCCCATCCAGGGCCCCAGATGTGTAGGGACTGAGAGGGAGTGTAGACCCACAGAGAGTGGACAGTCCAGGGGAGCTGTGGAGTCACAGCCAGCAGGCCCTCCATGCACACTCACCCGTGCCTCAGCGCCAGGCGCACAAAGCCTTTGCGTTTCCGGAGCGTGAGGCAGTGCTGCCCTGGGTTCGCATACAGGGCCTCATGTGCACCCCCTATTGCAATGACCACGGCCTGTCCACGCTTGGGCTGGGACAGGACAAAGTCCAGGCTCTGGCGGTTCACAGGACGCACTCCTGTAGGCAGGGGTAGGTGGGAAGCAGTCAGCAGCCCTCCACTGGCCCTTGGCCCCTCACCCTTAGTATAGGACAGGTGAACCCTGAATTCTGTTACTTCCAAACCCGCACCCAATCCCCATGTCAGAGCCCAACAGTGAAGCCACTCACTGATGCCCGCTGTGAGCCTGGCCGATGTTCTGGCCAGGTCCCTGCACTCAGAAGAGGGATGCCCTGGGTGTCCCAGTGTGTGGGGAGCAATTGCCCAATTCTGCTAGAGGCTCACCATAGCTCATAATGTAATCTCGGTAGACTGGGAGGCAGAAGAGGCCACTCAGTCCAGTTTGACAGGTCTGAATCCCTGGGAAGTGCTTGGAGAAGCCATTGCCCTCCGTGGAGAAATTACAGGTAGTACTGGCACACACGATACCATGTGGGTGACTTCCCACCACGTAGTTCTGGTTGGGGGGCAGCTCTGCTGTTTTCATCAGCTTCAGGGTGTTGGGCAGGATGAGCGGGGGAGGCAGAGAAGGGAAGACACCAGCTGAAAAGAGTTGCCCTGCCCCCCAACAGATTTCAGAATTCAAGGTCCTAGGATGGGATCATTGGTCCTCTCCTGGAGGCCATCCAGCCCTGGGGCACTGCCCCAGCTTATGTGCTCAGGCTCCGTCCAGCACATGGAAGGGGGAGAGCAGTGTGGGAGGTGGGGGAGGGTGGAGGCAGTCAAAGGACCCATCACCTTGATAGGATAATAATCCCTCATGTCCTTCCACACTGTCAAATTCCTCATCCAGTCACAGCGCCTTCCACCTGTAGGCAAAGACAGAGGGCGCCAGAATCCCTGGAGGTAACCGCCTCCCCCCAGCCACCATTTCTCATTACCTGGGCCCCTGTCCACAGCTCACCTTGGTTAGGTGTGTCCCAGTCCAGGTAGAGCCACACCAGGTAGAGAACAGAGATTGACCAGACTGAGGTGAACAGGAGGAAGATGATGAGAAGAGAAAAGAAAGGGCCTGGGTGAAAGAAGAGAAAAGAGTGAATTTGCTTCTGAAACAGTCATTGCACCCAGCCAGTCCCTTCCCTTCCACCCTCACTGGACATCTCGCCATCCCCTGTGGCCCTCTCGGATTGGCCCCTTGGCCCTCAGGCATCCAGGCCAGCTGCTTGGCTGCCCAGTCTTTTTCCCTCTGGACCCTTCTCCCCTGGCAGACCCAAGGCACCCACGTCTCTCCCCATCTCACCCATGAAGAGGAAACTCAACACCCATTGATAGGCAGCCATCATTTCTCGACACTGCTTCCATCGGCTCTTCGGGGTGACAGAGGGTGGCGAGGCTGCAGAATTTCCATTCCAGTACCTCCCCTCTGCCAGCAGGAGTCCTGAGAGCAGAGGAGGAAGCTGAAGGTCTGGGGAGAGAGCCTGGGAAGATTTCTGTCCAGAGAGGGCAGCGCTTGGGGCCTGGCAGGGTTTCAGATCACCTGGCAGAACTGTATGTGTTGGGGTGAGTGTCGGGGTGTATATCAGGATCTGGAGCCCCAGATATCTCCAGGCTCCTCAGACTGGTCTTTGAACTTCCTCAGTCAGTAAATAGGTCTGGGCTGGCCTTGGGCAGGACTGGGTGGGGGTAAAGGAGTGTTGCAAGGGGTATCCCATGGGGTGAACAGAAGGCAGCTTGCCAGTCTGTCCACAGGGCTCCAGGTGCTGGCGGGGCCAGGAGGTCAGCTGAGACTGTTGCATCTGCCATGTGTCCAGTGTGGGCCCAACCGGTTTCCATGTCTCTGGGAGTGACAAAGCCACCTCGGAGTTACCGACTAAGGCTGTGCTGCCTGTGGCCTCACAGCGCACCCCGGCCACCTCTGCCATGTACAAACCCACGAACACCTCTGGTCACTTTCCCACCTTTAATTTCATTCCTGACCTGCAGCAAAGGTGGGGGCTGGGTGGGGCAGGGCGGCGGCATTGGGCTCCTACCTGTCCCCGGAGCGCTCCTTGTGCTCCTCGAACAGCCCCGTGTCCCCTCCACAGAGAGGACAGCGCGTGCAGCACATGCACCTGGGCCCAGCTGGGCTACAAACTTCGCCCCATGGGAATCGTGGCCCCCAGTGCAGGAGGAACTGACGTGAGTCTGCCCCCCGCCCACAGCCATCGCTGGAGACAGAGTTCAAGGGTGGCGGGGGGCACGGTTCCGGGCGTGAGCAGCTCATTGATGGTGTGGACAGGCAAGTGGAAGGGCAGCTGCAGCCTTTGCCAGCTGTGGAACAGAGGCAGCGCCACACTTAGCTCTGGCTACCTCGCTTTTTGCTCCCTCAGCAACCAGGAGCCCAGCAGAAAGGGAACTGCTGGAAGAGCTCATTCTCTCCAAAGGAGAAGACAGGCAGCAGGGAGGCCCTGTGGGAGCAGGCTCAGCTGACTCAGCACTGGGCGCTGCACTCCTCCCCCGGCCTGCCAGTGTCTCATCCCTGTTACAGCTCCAGCTCCATGAACCACTTCTGATTCCGGAACCCCAAGCTCAGTGCTTCGGGTTTTGACTCCAGAACCTGTAGGAGCCCTCCATGGCCAGGACTGCCACCTGGCTGTCCACATGCAGGGACAGCAGATAAGCAGCCCTGGCATTGTAGGAGGAGACCAAACCTGTGGAGAGGGTAGAGGCTGGGGGACCCAATGCCTGGGTCTTTGAAGATGACGGGGGTGGGTTGGGGGACACTGGTAAGTTAGAGCTGGGCCCAGAAGCAGCCAGACAAGTGGAGGGTGTGGCTGTGGCAGGAGGGGACAGCAGGGGCGACCCCTCCTGCACTTGACATGATATAGTCCGAGAAGAGAGGAAGGTGGACCAACAGGGCAGCATGAGCAGGAGCGGACGCAGACCCTGGAAGAGGCGGGAGAAGCCTGTGGCTTCTGTGCAGAAGTTGCTGAAGGCCCCAAGCACAGGACCCCGTGAGGGTGGAGGCCGAAGAGGTAGTTCTGGGAGGGATCCAGCTCTGCGATTTCAACCAGCTGGGGAGCAGAGGGCAGGCACCCCAACCCACCTGTGACATTGATGAGGAGCCTGAGTCTATTCAGAAGCCCCAGTGCCACCCAGCACACCTGTGCCCTGTGCCCGACGCCCTCATGAAGATGGGGAATCAGTCACGGAAATATCTCTGCATCGTCCAGCTGCTGACCTAGGCAGAGTGGTGGCCTCCAGCCCTGGTGTTGGTCCTGTCTCAGTAAAGCCAGACCTGGTATGGACCACCAGGGTCCAGTACCAGCTTAGGAATGCAAGGAGCAAGGCTGCCAGGCACACTGTACTAGAAGATGGTGGTGGGCCAAAGAACCCGGATGTTTAAGCCGAGCCTCCCCTCTCTCCCCCTTCCCTAGTTCCATGGCATTTGGGTCCTTTCATCCCATCTGCTCCCTAGATTCCTTCAAGGATGACAGAGATTCCAACACCTCCTCCTTGGGGAAATGTGGAAGCAGAGCACCAGGTGCTGGGGCCCACCCAGATCCTCAAGATTGGGGACTCACTAAGCCACAGGAAGAAGGCACGTTGCAGCACAGCGAGCACTGGCAGAACCTGGAGGAGGAGGCTGGTGGAGGCCATCATACTGTGTGTGGCAGTCACACAGGGGCCACCTTCAGCTTTCAAGTAACCCCCCGTTTGACCCACCCCACTGGCCCTGACCCTTGTCCCTGGCGCCGCCCCCATTCCCACCTCCTTTGCTGCCTGCACACTGGAGCCACAGGAGCTGGGGAAGGATGGGTTCATGGCAACCTGAGTCCACAGGGCTAGGACCAATGGGCCCAAACCAGGGGTGTGGCCCGGAGCCTGAGGGAAGGTGTTTGACTTTGTGGAGGTCAGGGCCCTGGGACTCCTGAGGGGCAGGCGAATGGAGGTCTGGGACAGTGGGGGGAGGCCC